CTGGATTGATGATGGTTTATTAGATCATAAGTTATAAGATAAGAGGACGTGGATGGATGGATGGATGGATGGATGGATGGATGGATAGATGAATGAAAGGATGGGTGGAGGGACAGACAGACAGACGGATGGAAGATCTCTAAATCCTTTTACTTACAATTCTCAGAATCAAGTGTGATCTTGTCTCCTTCATGTGCATGTTCTAACCATGATTCTGTTCTACTGATACTTGAGCTGATTTGATCATCGAGGCCTCTGTAAAAAATAAGCAATACACTTGCAATCCCTTTACGCTTAAACCCATATTTATCCGAAATAACAGCTACTGTAGCATACAGTACCTTTTTTTATGACATACCTGCTCAATTAAGTTGACTTAGGAGAGGTAATAATAAATAAATATTAAAATAAAAATGTGGAACTACACAATTTCCATTTGGATTCGGAGAAAGATCCTCTTTGAAAATGCCACTGCTATAAAACAGGCTGTTTGACTTGATTTGGTTACCTCAGCTCCAAGGATTGGGTACCAGAATACAAGGACTGTTCCTTATGTTGTTTTCTGATTTCCTCTTCCTACAGTGATATAGACAATATCTGCTATTTGATCATATATATTCAACGTGTTAATTTGCACATTATAAATAATAAATATTATTATATAATATAATATACAATGATATATTTAAACGTGAAGTAAAATACTAAAAATGCAGAATATGATGACGACAAAGCTGATGATGTTGATACCAACAACCACAATGATGATAATGATATGATGAAAAAAAGCTAATGATGATCAAGTTGATGACTACAGGGACAATGTAAAATGATAATGATGATGCAGTCTGTGGTGAATCTAGGACTTTGAAAAGGAGGGGGTCAAGACCCTTTACTAGAAAGATGATTATGAAAACAACTACAATAAAGATATTTAAGATGAAAATGATGAGGTTGATGACAAAGCTGATGATGATCATCATCGTTGGTGATGACTATTGTTACTATCAAAATAGCTATACAGCTTCTAACAGATATGCACTTGGCATATTGTTGTCATGCTTACCTGGTCTTTATTCAAATATGGGACACCATGGTGAATAAACTGAATAGAAGAAAACAATGTTTTGGTTACTATTCCATGCCATAAAAACCCATGCTTTATGCTTTTTCCAGCACTCACAAAGCAGCTCCGTTTGGCTACTAGTTGTAATACACTTTTTAGATGGACACCAGTAGCTTTGGTGCTATACTGTAAGCCGACAACATTGCTGGCACTGAGGTCACTGTCAGGGTTCCTTACATCCTCGGTGGCTCTTTTGCATCCCCTAATTTGCAGATAGGACTGCATTTAACTTGGTCATCTGAGCCACAAGGGATTAACAGTTCCCAATGTCAAGAGTGAAGGTTTAAATTTACATCTAACAATTTTTCACCGCTCAGCCAGGGCTCTAACATTATTGACCTTTTGAGTGAAAGGCGACCCATAGGTTGTTTCAGGACATAATAGAATTTGAAGGGGTTTCTTATGCAGCAAGTGTACCTTATACCTTATTGAAATCAAAATTGTGCTTGGACAGGAAATGAAGACTGGATGCCTTCAAAAAAGAAAAAAAAATCCACCATGAAATTAGTATTTATTTCATTATATACCTATATAGCCATAAATAGTTTCTTTGGATGTATATTGCACACATCCCACATAATTCTTTCGGCTGTTTCAAGATCACAAAGCAGAAAGCAAGTCTAAATGAAAACTCAGACATGTTTTCATTACAACTGACAAATGATTACATACACAGTGATTTTGAATTTTAAAAATATTTGATTTATGATATATCTATTCATCATTTTTACCTGACACAAAAATCTGCAATCCACTGGTCCAAAAGAAGGTTGGAAGAGATAAAAATTGAAAGCATATGCTTGGTACCTTCAGAAAAATACAGACACAACAGTCAGTATAATAGCAAAGCTATATTATCAGTCTTTTGTTTTATCTTTAGTTCTATAGTATACATATATTCTTTTTTTCCAAATTTATAGGGCAAAACATATATCAGGTCGTACCAGTACTAAGTCAAGTTCAGAGGAGTCCAACAAATGTGGCAACAAGTGACATGTCTTAAGTTGGACATATGACTATACTACAATGTGACAAGCAAAAGTATGACAACATTTCTTGCATTTGCATTATATGAATGGGATTTTTGCTGCGAAATGAAATTTTAAAAGTGTTGACCAGTTTAATGTACAAAAGACCATGGAAATACATTATCACCAGTCATACTTTTATGCACTGTTTGTGCCATAACAACCCTTCATAAATATTATGTATTTGCCAAACTAGAAGCTCTATGAAAAAGAGAATGTGAAAGATAGGGATTTAGCAAGGAATAGTAGACAGGATGGATAGGGTTAGTTTAGAAATAAAATTATTGAGCATGAGTATGCATAATCAAGTATGAAGACAATATTAACTTAGGTTAAACCAACCTGTTTGGCTGATCAGGGATCTCCACAAAGGCACACAGCCCTGCAAAACATTTGTCAACTAATGAGCTTATAAGAAATTTCAATTTGATTATTCACTAAGTAGTATACAAATGGAATATACGGTACATACACAGATGAATAAATGAATGGGTGGATGGATGGACTAAACCCACTCACCAAACTGACAGATAACGAACTGTGATATAGATTTCTTCAGCTTTTTATATCTTGTTTTGGCTTCATCAAAAAGACTGTAAAGGAGAAAAAGAAGAAAATCAAGTTGCTTACACTTTCATTCTCGAGCTCTCATGCAACATGCTAACTTACCTTGGACAAGAAGAGTCATTTGTTGACAGCCCGGTAAATTCTGTATCGATGGCTATAAACGATGATGAGAAAAAAGATTACTTCAACTTTTATATTGTAAAACAAGCAAACCCAATACGAAGCTACGAACATACCAACGAAAGAGCTCCTCTCTATTACATCTTTGATCTCTGGGAAGCGTTCATCGAAGTTTTCTCGCAGGATTTCACACATATTCGAGTGTAGCTTTTGACTTTACCTCTCGTTTTGACCTTCAAATGAACGATTTTACCAGGCGTTCGTTACACGGCCGACAGGAACTGGAGAAAGCCCGAATATTAAATTGCGCATGCGTATAACTCTGTTCTAGAAGAACTGCAAGTTTTTCATAAAGTGAAAACAAATTTCGATTTTTATTTCCTACTTTTTTTAAAGCTTAAAGATGAATGATAGTGATGAAACTATGTGTGATAGTCCAGAGAGATATATATGTTCTGAGAGCGGTTCCCCATCGATTCTTGGAGGGCTTGACATTTATGCAAAGCCTACTTTAAAAACTGAGAAAGAAGATACGAAATCAACTACTTCAAGGTATAGTGAAACATAAATCTTTAAATCTATGATTCAAAAAACTCTAAGAACAGTTGCTTTTGAACTATCATTACAGTAAAGACCTAGTACGAAACGATCCAGTGATCCTGAAACTCAAGCGTGAACACCAGGACGAATTGTCAGGATGCGAAGAAGGTCCCACGTCGCCAGAATACCCTCCACTTTGTTCTAAAATGAAAAAGACCCGGCAAAACATCTTTCGGAGCTCATCCTTACAAAGGGAAGATTACAGTGAATCTTGTAATTCTACTCAGGACTTTGATTCACAAGTTGTTAGTAACGATAGTCCAATTGACTGTGAGGAATTTGAGGTCATTGAGAGATGTATTACAGAGATAGAAGAACAGGTTACTGCATTAATGATACTCAGGGAACAAGGTAAACAAGCAAAAGTGTCTATGTTTTGGCTTTTTTTTTTAATTGCTGTTACGTTTTTGCCACTTTTATTCACTTCTTCCTTAATGTCATTCTCCATCCCCGTTGAACCGTCCTTCCTTTCTTGTTTCCTTATCTGCTTTCTTCATTCCTCTAACCTTTCCTCTTCCCACTCCACCATTTTCTATCCAGGTACATCAGTCAGTAGTACTAAAGAATTCACCGAACTGAAACAAAAGATGCTAGATGCTCGACTCTTGCTGTCCAAACTAAACACATTACACCAAAAAGAAAGAGAAGATCTGACAAGTTCGAGTCAGAATTCAGATGGTCAGAGAACATCAAAGCAAGATTTATTTGTGCTTGCATCCAAACAAAGAAGACTTCTGGGACTCTTCAAAAGATACGAAGATCTCTTAGGTAAAGCCAAGTCACTGAAAAATACCCTTCACTCAAAACATATAAAAACAATACTGCCTAACTTACAAAGGCTTACTAGCTCGAAGACTGGTTCGGTGTCAAGTGTGCAAGAAAAAGAACAGAAAAAGAAAGTGGAACATCGTGTTTTTGTACACACTGCTGTACAACGAGGACTAGTCTCTCTAGCTGCCATACCTGCTACAGTACAACAAGGATCAGGCCATGTGGCCACTACAGTAAGGCAAGACACCTTACGCACAGCAGTACAACAAGGATCAGGCCATGTGGCTACAACGGTAAGGCAAGTCACCCCACGCACAGCAGTACAACAAGGATCAGGCCATGTGGCCACTACAGTAAGGCAAGACACTCCACACACAGCAGTACAACAAGGATCAGGCCATGTGGCCACTACAGTAAGTCAAGACACCCCACGCACAGCAGTACAACAAGGACCAGGTCATGTGGACA